TATATATATATGGGAAGTTTTTTTTTTAAGTTGATATTACCTTATGTTATTGAGAATCATAGAAGAGGTGGGATTTAAGATTACTCACTAAGGATAAGACATGGGTAGAAACAAAGAGAAGGTACTTAAAACAGAGGAATAACAGGAGTAAAGGAGTACCAGAGATCTCAGATCTCCGCACTTTTGAGTAAAAAGTTTTAAAGTACCAGTGAAAAAACTAGCCTGGCACACATTCCCAAAAGCAGAAAAGGTAAGGCCTAATGAACAGAAAGGGGCCAGATAATGAAAGGCCTTGGAAACTGTGAACCTAGTCCTGCAGGCAACAGAAACATTTTAAGACTCATTATCAAGTAGAATGATGGCATGATATAGGTAATTCTGTATTCTGGGGATATTAGCTGGTGCGTAGGATTGATAAGATGATACAGAAAGCAGGGTGATAAAAAGAGAAAGTATTTAGTGGACCACTCCCTCCTAACTTTGCTGATTCTACCTTGAGACCAAATTTCTTCAGTCTCAAATTGTATTTTACAGCTCTGAGACATGAATATATTAGTTGTTATCTAAGTAACCAAGGCTTGGAATGCTACATGCTGATTCTTCATTTCTGGGACAGTCTATTATTACCACCTCCTGATTATTCTTCCCTCAGCAACGCTTTGCATATCATTCTCTTTCTATCCCTATTGCCAGTACCCTAATACAGGAAGGGCCTCACTACCTTATGTTTGGGTTTCTCAGTTTCTCTGCCTCCTTTCCTCCCTTCATCCAACCTAAACATCGCTACCAGATTCATCTTCAGAAATACCCTGCACATACTACCCCTTGCTCAGAAATCTTTGAAGGCTTCTTACTGCTTGAGAAAAGACAAACCAAATGCCTTAACTGGCAATGGAGGTTGCCAGGAAGCCACCCTGACATCACTGCTCAATGTCTTTGGGCCCAGCTCATATTCCACCTCCTTACAAATTCCCACATCTAGTCTAGACTAGAACAGCTCTGTCAACAGACATATAATGCATGCCACAAATGTACGTTTAAATTTCTTCGTGGTCACATGGAAAAGTGAAAAAGAAACAGGTGAATTTTAATGTATTTTATTTAACCCAGTAGAACCAAAATATTATTTCAACATATAATCATGTTGAATATTTTACATTTTCATATTAAATCTTCAAAATCCACTGTGTATTTTATATTTACAGCACATTTCAATTAGACTAACCACATCTGAAGTGCTCAGTAGCTACATGTGGCTAGTGACTACTATAACAGTGCAGATCTAGACTCCAGACCATAAAAATCAATGCTTTACACTATAGAGCATCGTGTTGTCACCCCTAAAGTGCAGGTTGGCACCATCATATGTTTGTGTGCATGTCTCAGACTAAGTTTTAATAGTATTGCCAACCATTTACTCTCTCAGAATAAAAACTCAAGTCACCTTCTTACCATTAACTTAGCAGTCAGCAGGTGAATCCCATTTGACATTTACTTAGTGTCTCTCTGACCTCCTTTATGTCCTGCCTCCATGGAGGCCCTCATTGCCTTACCTGAATGATTGCCAATTTCCTTTCATCTAGTTTTTCTGTTCCCAGTTGATCCTCTATATAGCTGTCAGAGACCATCCTAAAAAAACAAATACCCTCCTGCTCACTCTTTGCACAAAATATCCACTGGATTCCTGCTAACTACTGAATAAAATCTAAACTCCCGATTGGAAATCAGGATCCTTCACAAGCTGATCTTAACCTACCTCTTGCTTCACCAATCACTCATGCACTAAATGCTCAAGCAGGTTGATTATCCCACTCTCCCTAACTATGCTAAAGTTTCTCAAAGCTCTATATTCCTGTACTGAATCCCGAAATTACCTTCTCCTTTTGAGCTCAGCAAATTCCTTTTGATGCTACATGACCCAACTCACATATTTACTCCTTTATAAAGCCTTTTTGTTGCCCTAACCCAAGTTATTTTGTTATAAAGGGGGCACATAAAGTATTTGAATGGATTTTCAATGTATAGAGGAGTAAAAGTGATCATCGTTGTATATCCAATACCCAGTATCTCACAGTTACTTGCCCTCTCAATAATGATCGTGCATGTTGCCGGGCGCAGTGGCTTGCGCCTGTAATCTCAACACTTTGGGAGGCCGAGGAAGGCCGATCGCTTGAGCTCAGGAGTTCCAGACCAGCCTGGGCAACATGGCAAAACCCCATTTCTACTAAAAACGCAAAAAAGTAGCCGGGCGCGGTGGCTGCGCTGGTGACCCCAGCTACTTGGGAGGCTGAGGTGGGAGGATTGCTTGAGCCCGGGAGGCGGAAGTTGCAGTGAGCTGAGATGGCACCACTGCACTCCAGCCTGGGGGACAGAGCGAGACCCCGTCTCAAATAATCAATCAGCTGGGCGCGGTGGCTCACGCCTGTAATCCCGGCACTTTGGGAGGCCGAGGCGGGCGGATCATCCTGGCCAACAAGGTGAAACCCTGTCTCTACTAAAACTACAAAAATTAGCCGGGCGTGGTGGTGCGCGCCTGTACTCCTAGCTACTCGTGGCTCTTGAGGCAGGAGAATCACTTGAACCCGGGAGGAAGAGGTTGCAGTGCGCCGAGAATCGTGACACTGTACTCCAGCCTGCGCAACAGAGCGAGATTCCTTCTCAAAAATAGAAAATAAAAAATCATGACCCTGCATGTTGATGACAACTAAGGTGAACTAAGCAAAATCCAAGGGAAAACAGAGGAGTTTGGGTTAGCCCTGGAACTCACTGAGTGGGGAAGTCTCTTTCCTGTCAGTTGAGGGAAAGCAGCAATTTCATACTGGGGCTGCAAGGCCGGGCATGGTGGCTCACGCCTGTAATCCCAGCATAGGCCAAAATGGGAGGTTCTCTTGAGCCCAGGAGTTCGACACCAGCCTGGGCAACATAGTGAAACCCCGTCTCTATTTACAAAAAAAAAAAGAAGAAGAAGAAAAAAAAAGAAAGGAAAAAAAGGGGTTAAAGGGATTGTAAAATTAAAAATTAGGGGATGGGTATAAATGATAGCTCAGGTTCGCCTGGTCACAGGAGGCCAGACTTGCCGGGGTTACAGTCTGACCTCTTGTTTTCTAAAGAGCACGTAAAATAGTACGAAGTCAAAAAAGAATTATAACTTCACAGTGATAGTGGAAGCGCTGGGAGGGCAATGGCGGGAGGGCGCGAAGGGCCGAGACCCTTTTAGTACAGCATAGTACAAACATCCTAAAGGTCTCTGGAGTCGATGAACTAAAAGGACGCCTACGCGGTGCCCAGAGCTTAGTAACCTCGTGGTCTCTCAACCCAAAACGACGGGAAGAGCCCGAGCGGGGGAGGGTGAGAACGCCGTAGCCACGAGGCTAAGCAGCTAAAGCTGGCGTCGGCTTAACTCCTCCAGCGCCAAGAGATGAAAGGGTAAGCAGAGGGAAGCAGAAAGGAGGAAAGAAGATCCCGGGAGGGAACCGTACGAGCTGCCGCAAAACAGCTGGGAGCTTGAAACCCATGGAGAAGTCACTTCTCTTTCCCTCGCTGACCACTTCTGCCAGGAACGACCGGGACAGTCGCAGCCGAAGCGGCGGGGGCGAGTCCTCGGGGGAGACCGGGTCGGAGTCGGGGCCCGGCGCTCCCGGAGGGCCAGTGACGCCGCCTTCCCCCGCCAGAGGTTTACTCCTTTCTCCCGCCCTCACTTGCCTCGTCAGGCCTCCCCCAACGCCGTCCACTGCCCTTCCCAACCCCTAAGCGAATCCAGGTTCAAGAGGTAGAAAAGCCGATGCTGGCTCAGCAGCGCGGAGCACTACCGGCCGGCAGAAGCCCCCCAGCGGCGGCCGCCATTTTGGAGCTGGAAGCGAGCGGCGTAAACGAGGAGGACCCAGGGCGAGACCATCTCCGGGGGGTGGGCATGGGGCTGTGGGAAGGCGACGGCGCTCACACCTGCACGCCTCGTCTGAGTGGAGCGAAATTGTATTCAGAAATTATTGATAATGTTTGGAAGCTAAAAAAAAAAAGGAGTTAACCCTGAGGAGGAAGAAGTAGTATGATTTGCTGGCGTCACCCCTCTGCTCCGTGCCGGCGCGGCGAATGGCAGGTCCCGAGGTCGCAGCTTCCACTGGCGCGGGTGGCTGAGTTGCCCTTGGTCTCGGGGTCGCTGTTGGCACTGAGGCTGCAGGTGGGTCTGGGGAGCCTGGGGGGCCGCCGCGCCGCGGATCACGGCGAGGGTGACGGGGAGGGTTCTAGGCAGGCCCTCGGTGCTGTGCGTGTGTGGAGGGGTGGTCTGAGCTTCCCCGGGGCTTCCGAGCGAAGGTGACGGGAAAGGAAAATGGGGTTTTCTTCGGGTGGAGGATGGGATTTCCGGGCCGGAGCTTTTGGAATGGGTTTTCTGAGGCTGTTATAACAGGAAAACGTCCGTAGAGATGTGACCCAGTGACCGCCCGCTAGCCGGTATCCCATACCTGGCCTGAAGCAGGGAAGACGCTGGCTGCCTCCCCTCCCCAAGCAGCTTACGTTCATCTAAGTCCTAGCCTTCTGTCTCCTCGCTAACCTCGCTCTCTTCCAAACCGCAAATCCTCGTGAGCCGACACCGTTGCACCAAAATGATGCGCTTACCCTTTTGGTTTGCTTTTTTATTTTTATTTTTGAGACAGAGGTTCACTCTTGTCACCCAGGCTGGAGTGCAATGGCGCAATCTCCGCTCACTCCAACCTCCGCCTCCCGGGTTCAAGCGATTGTCCCGTCTCAGCCTCTCAAGTAGCTAGGATTACAGGCGCCCGCCACCACACCCGACTAATTTTTTGTATATTTAGTAGAGACGGGGTTTCACTATGTTGGCCAGACTGGTCTCGAACTCCTGATCTCGTGATCCAACCGCCTCAACCTCCCAAAGTGCTAGGATTACAGGCGTGAGCCAGCACACCTGGCCGACCTTGCCTTTTAAAAGAAAAACGTATGGCCAGGCGCGGTGGCTCACGCCTGTAATCCCAGCACTTTTGGAAGGCCGAGGTGACCGGATGAAGAGGTCAGGAGTTCGAGACCAGCCTGGCCAACAGTGAAACCCCGTCGCTACTTAAAAATACAAAAATTAGCCGGGCATGGTGGCACGTGCCTGTAGTCCCAGCTACTCGGAAGGCTGAGGCAAGAAAATCACTTAAACCTGGGAGGCAGAGGTTGCAGTGAGTTGTAGTTGCACCACTGCACTCCAGCCTGGGCCACAGAGTGAGAATCTGTCTCAAAAAAAAAAAAAAAAAAAGCCGGGCGCTGTGGCTCACGCTTGTAATCCCAGCACTTTGGGAGGCCTAGGCGGGTGGACCACGTGAGGTCGGGAATTCAAGACCAGCCTGACCAACATGGAGAAACCCCATCTCTAACAAAAGTACAAAATTAGCTGGGCATGGTGGCGCATACCTGTGATCCCAGCTACTCAGGAGGCTGAGGCAGGAGAATCCCTTGAATCCGAGAGGCGGAGGTTGCGGTGAGCCAAGATCGCGCCATTGCACTCCAGCCTGGGCAACAAGAGCGAAACTCCGTCTCAAAATAAAAAAGAAAAAAAAAGGAAAGAAAAATGTATGAATTGTATAACTGCCAATCAGTGTCAGAGGAGAGGCAGAAATTCAGTCTACATAGGCCTAGCAGAGCTTAGTGCTAAGCAGTTTTGTTGGCAATAATGTATTGTCTTTCTAGGATGTTGTCATATGTCTTCTCAGTCATTGTACATGATTTATTAGGTTAGGTCCAAATGCACACAGGTGTATTTTGATGCACGAATCTGTATGCACGAATTTTTATAGGAAATTGGCAATCCAACTATGTTTTTATTGAATTAGTGCAATTTATTTTCCACCTGATGACCATCACAGGTTCAGCATCCCTGATCAGAATATTGGAAATCCAAAATGCCCCCAAATGTGAAACTTGGGGCCACAAGTTTGAGACCAGCCTGGGCAACATAGCAAGATCTTGTGTCTACAAATTTTTTTAAGGATTTTTAAAAATTAACACCTGTAGCTCCAGCTTCTCAGGAGGTTGAGGTGGGAAGATCACTTGAGCTCAGGAGTTCAGGACTGCAGTGGACTATGATAACTCCACTGCACTCCATCCTAGGTGACAGAGCAAGACTATTTGAAAAAAAAACAAGTTTCATATAAGATTGCCTTCAGGCTATGTGTATAAGGTATATGTAAAGCCCAAATGGAGTTTATGTTTAAATTCGGTCCTATCCCCAAGATAGCTCATTATGTGTATGCAAATATTTCAAAATCTGAAAAAATCCAAAACACTTCGGGTTCCAAGCATTTTGGATAAGGAAAAACCTGTAGTTCTATTCCTCCTCATCTACCTTCTGGACACTCAGCATTTAAAAGCTTTTAAGTATCATAAACATCAATTCAGGAAGGGGTTTCTTAGGTATGAGCTATATAATAGGAGCCAGAGCTGTAGAGTGAAGCTGAATTTGAACTCCAGCTCTATACTTAATAGTATTTGGATTAAGCTGTTTTCTTATCTGTAAAATGTAAATAATAGTTAATTCACATTACGTATAGAAGTATATGGCTCTGGTACCTAGTAACGTAGTAGTCTTTTTTGTTTGTTTGTTTGTTTGTTTGTTTTTGTTTTGAGACCGCATCTTGCTCTGTTGTCCAGGCTAGAGTACAGTGGTGTGATCTCAGCTCACTGCAACCTCCGTCTCTTGGGCTCAAGCAATCTTCCCACCTCAGCCTCCCAAGTAGCTGGGACTACAGGCATATACTAGCACACCCAGCCAATTTTTTTATTTTTTGTAGAGACACGGTCTTCCATGTTAACCAGGCTAGTCTCAAACTCCTAGGCTCAAGTGATCCATCCGCCTTAGCCTCCCAAAGTGCTGGGGTTGCAGGCATGAGCCACCTAGTAGTCACACTATAAAAGTAAGTTTTCTTCTCCCTTTACCTTGTTTTTTTGTGGTTTTTTTGTTTTTTGTTTTTTTTTTTCTGAGACAGTCTTGCTCTGTCCCCCAGTCGGGAGTGTAGTGACATCATCTCAGCTCACTGCAACCTCTGCTTCCCGAGTTCAAGCGATTCTCCTGCCTCAGCCTCCTGAGTAGCTGGGATTACAGGCATGCACCACTATGCCCAGCTAATTTTTGTATTTTTAGTAGAGATGGGGTTTCACCATGTTGGCCAGGCTGGTCTCGAACTCCTGACCTTGTCCTTCTGCCTCAGCCTCCCAAAGTGCTGGGATTACAGGCGTGAACCACCACACCTGGCCCTTTTACCTTTTTTAGAGTAATCTATATTCATATCTACAGTGACATTATTGAATATAGTTTTTTTTTCTCTCATATCTTTTTTCTTTCTAAATTTAGTTTTCAGTAATTACAGCTTTACCTAAAGAATTCCACTTTTGGCAAAATTGTATTAAATTTGTTTTTGCATTGCGAGAGGTTCTAAATATGTTTTACACATGTAAAAGTTCTAAATGAGAGCCAGGTGCAGTGGTGCATGCCTATAGTCCCAGCTACTTGGAAGGCTAAGGCAGGAGGAATACTTGAGCCCGGGAGTTGAGAGCTATAGTGCCTGTGAATAGCCACTGCCCTCCAGCCTGGGCAACATAGTAAGACCTCATCTCTTTTATAAGAAAAAGTTCCAAAACAACATGAGGAGGATGCAAACAATCAGCTATTGCAGGCAGAATGTTTTACATACTCTCTCTGTTTCTCTGCTCTGTATCGTATCACATCACTATTGAAGCTAGTAGTAAAATTTAATAAATAGACTCAGTGCAGTGTAATTTTATATTAATCATTGTCCCATGTATAATCTTCATCAATTAGATTTTTAAGTATTATACAATATTCTGATGCCAGGCAAACAAAGAGGCTTATTAGGCTTTTAACATCTATTACATCTATGTCTATTATCTTCCTGTTTCAGATGCAGTTTATTTATTTTATCGAGACGGAGTCTTGCTCTGTTGCCCAGGCTGAAGTACAGTGGCATGATCTTGGCTCACTGCAACCTCTGCCTTCTAGGCTCAAGCAATTCTCCTGTCTCAGCCTCTCCAGTAGTTGGGATGACAGACGCGCACCACCACACCCGGCTAATTTTTGTACTTTTAGTAGAGATGGGGTTTTGCCATGTTGGCCAGGCTGGTCTCGAACTCCTGATCTCAAGTGATCTGCCCACTTCAGCATCCCAAAGTGCTAGGATTACAGGCATGAACCACCGTGCCCAGCCCAGATGCAATTTTAAAGCTATTTCAAAGAAAACAAAAAAAGCAGTTGTATTTCTGATAATTTTTTTTTCTTTTAGCTATCATGGTGAACTTACTTCAGATTGTGCGGGACCACTGGGTTCATGTTCTTGTCCCTATGGGATTTGTCATTGGATGTTATTTAGACAGAAAGAATGATGAACGGCTAACTGCCTTCCGGAACAAGAGTTTGTTATTTAAAAGGTTAGTCTGCATGTTTTTAAACCAGCAATTGGCCAAATTTGGGGAATATTCTTTTTTATATGTGCCAAAAATAAATAGAAGGGGTAATTTTTCCCCCTTGAGGACTTAGATTCAAATGATACTGTTTTTAGTCTTGTTTGTTATTGAATCCTTGGATAAAACAATATGATTACCTCTAGAATGTAAAGTCTTCATTTAATGAATAGGCTGTTTCAGGTCTTTGAAAGTATCATCTTTTTTTTTAATTCAAAGTGCATTTTAATACAGCCACAGTTTAAAAGTAGCTGACCAAAGCCTAGCTTATATTACAGCTTCCACATACATTGTCATATATTGTCTTAAGACATGCTGTAGCTGAGAGAAATCGTAATAATAGCAGCTAGGCGCTGTGTTCTTAGCAACACTACCTGACAGCTTTA